CTATACAGAAAATTCATTGCATTCACAAGAGGCTCTGGGACTGTCCATGCCTTCAGATGGACATTCACCCTCTGCTCAAGAGTCTCCAGATACTTCCTTGTCATCTGAAGAGTCTTCAGGCACTTGTTTGGACCAAGGGCTTTCAGGGAAGTTATTATCATTATCATTATCTGATCTAGGAGATCTTGGAGTATCTGAATATTTACAGGGACCTCCAGAAACACCACCTTCTACCCATAACATTCTAGAAATACCATCTTCTACCCATGGTATTATACACACTTCATTACCAGCCCAAGATTCTCTAGGACATCTGCCTCCTTCAGTGCAGATTCTACAACAGGCTCCCCTTATGACAGAGACATCAGAACCTTTGCTATCTACCAAAAAGGCTTATAATGTATCAGACTCTTCCCCAGGAACTTCAGATACTTTGCCATCTACCCCAGGATGTCTGGAAATTTTGTTCTGTGACCAAAGTACCATAGGACTGTCTGTATCTGAAAAAGTAATTTTAGGACCATCAGTATCTCTGGAGGAATCCCTGGGGCATTCTCCTTCTGAACAATGGTCTCTGAGATCCACTCCACCTGCATCTGGGACTGGGTCGCTCTCCCCCTCAGAACAAGGTTGTCTGGAAATATCTTCAAGTATACAAGGAGATTCACCCTCTCAGCAAGGCTATACAGGAAATTCATTATATTCACAAGAGGCTCTCAGACTGCCCAAATCAGCAAAGGAATCATTCGGACATTCATCATCTGCTCAAGGCTCTCCAGATACATCTTTGTCATCCCAAGAGGCTTCAGGCCCTTCTTTGGACCATGCGTCTTTAGGAAAGTCATCATCTGAAGCAGGAAATCTTGGACTTTCTGACTCAGATCAGGAGATACTAGAAGCTCCACTATTTACCCAAAGTATTTTAGAAATGCCATCTTCTAACAAAGGGATTACAAAAACTTCAACAATTTCCCAAGATTATTTAGAACATCTGCCTCCTTCAGTGAAGACTCTGCAACCTTCTGTTATATCAGAAACCTCAGAACCTTTGCCAACAGTCAAAGTGGTTTGTAAGACTTCAGAATCTGAGTCAGGTGCTCTGAAATCTTTACCATCTTTTTTAGAGGCTCTGAGACATTTGACCTCTGACCAATGTACTCTATTGGTACATCTGGAGCCATCAACACCTCTCCATGAGACTCTTGGAAACCTCAAACCATCCCAAGGGGTTCTAGAACCTATGCCATCTACCCAAGAAGGTGTAGGAACTTCTTTTTCAACGGAGGTTTGGGGATTGTCCACTTGTGCACATGACGACTTTATTCCAATTCCTTCTCATGGTGACTGCCTGAGATATTCCTCTTATCCTAATAAAAGCCATAGACATTTCAATTCTACCAAAAAAATACCAAGGCATGCTCCATTTCCTGAAGGAGATATCAGATATTCACTTTCAGAACTAGATGTCTTAAGATCATCTTCTGCCAAAAGTAGGCTCACATCTTCCATATATGTCAGAAAGAACTCAAGTTCTACCTCTACTCCTCCAAGGAGTGTCTCACCCCCAGAATCATCAGAATTGAACTTCAGATCTAGTTCCCCTTCTAGAAAATATTTCAGATGTTCTCCCTCTCCACAAGGTGGCTCCAGACATTCGAAGTCAAAGAAAACAAAATCAAAACATGATTCTAAAGAATCATGCCTCAAATCTGTCCCATCAGAAGAAAAAGGGTTGAAATTTCACCATTCTCCCAAAAAGGAGGGCAGAGATACAGTTTCTAACAAAGTTAATGCAAGGCCTAAAAGTGATCCCAAAAAGAGCCCCACTACTACTTCTGCTAAGGGAGGTTGTAGATCCTCCCGATCTCATGAGGAGGTCCTCAAATGTTCCCCATCTTCCCAAGGCAGCCCTAGATGTTCCAGATCTTCCAAAATCAAATTGGAACAGGTTCCCTCTAACAAAACAGATGTTCATGTTTCCCATTCAGAACATGAGGTCTGCAAACTACACTTTTTGTCCAAAACAGAGTCCAAAAATTCATCCTCCAAAAGGGACCAGAAACCAAAAGCTACTCCTCAAGAATGCATAGAATCTTCCCTCTCTATGGCAGGCTGCAGATTCTCACAGTCTCATGAGGAGGGCAGCAGAAGTTCTGCATCACCCCAAGGCAATCATAAACATTCCAGGTCTATCAAAACTAAATTGGAACAGGCCCCCTCTAACAAAGCAGATGTGCATGCTTCCCATACAGAACATAAGGGCTGTAAGAATCTCCCATTGTCACAAAGAGGATTTAGATATGCTTCATCTGTCAAAAGGGACAAGGAACCAAACGCTACTCCCCAAGAGAGCATAGAAGCTTCCACGTCTGCAGAAGAGGACATAGGAACTACTCCCTCTCATGAAGAGACTCTCAGACATTCTATCTCTCCTCATGAGACTTCCAGCCTTACTTCTTCTTCTACCAAAACAAGACTCTGGCATTCCCCTTATACTCAAGAAGTCATCAAAACTCCCAGTGAGGCCCAAGAAAGCTTCAGGTCATCTCCAGATGGAGACAGTCCCACTGGGAGAGTCAAGTCTTTCTCATCACCCAAATGCAATGATGTCAGACATCCTGTTTCTACAAAGAAGGACTTTAAACACACTCTTTCTGTTCAAGAGGGACAGAAACCTTCCACTGGTGCCAGAGAGGGGAGTGGGGCATGGATTCCTGTACAGTGGGGACTCATATATTCACCAATTCCAAAAGCGAGTGCCACATCATTCCCTGTTGTCCAAGGAAATTTCAGACATAGTCGACCTCAACTAGCAGACCTGAGATCTTCCCTTTCTTACCAAGGAAGAGACACAGGCTTCCAATATGAACATGGGACCCCCATATGTAACCCTTCTCTCCTAGGAGGCCACAGATATTCACGTTCATTCCCATGCAATCTCCGAAGGATCCCATTGCAAAAAAAGAGCCTTAGCTCTTACCTCTTCCCTCAAGAAGGCACCAGGTCTTCTCAGTGTGACCAAAGGGGCCTCAGACTTTCCTGTGGCCACCCCATCCAAGGTAGCTTTAGAATGTTTCAATCTGAAAGAGAGAGCCTCAAGAATAGCCCATCTAAAACACTGAGCCTCAGATTTCCTCCTTGTCACCAAAGGGAATACAGAAATGTGCCCTCTAATGTAGAGTGGGTTAAAACTTCAATTTCTGCCCCAGGAAGCCCACAATACAATCCTTCTGCCCATGGAGGCTTCAAACCTTTCACGCCTGTCAAACTGAAGTTCTAAAAATGCTCATCTCAAGAGGGAATACTCTCTGTTATCATGCCATCTTTATATCATCTTATGCACAGGCGAGCCTCATATTTTTCTACTCTGTGTCTCACATAAACCACAGGAGTTTATAACTTTTCCTACTCATCAAAAACCCGTTAAACCTTGAATTTCCATTCCCGGCTATTCCAGATGTACATTGAGGCATCAGATTGGTTCATTTGACTATAAAGAAGGCAGGCATTTTCCATCTGATTATTAATAGGTCACAGTTTCTACACAGAACATGATAAACAATCTATTACCCACTGAGAATAGCATGTGCTTATTCTGACTAATGTTGCCCAAGATTTACTTCATATGGTTTAGCGGGTGACAGATTAACTCCCTCTGTCTAAGAAGTTCTGAGTGTTTCTTATTCTAATCATCTGACTTCAAAGCCTCTGTCCAAAAATAAAACTACCCTGGTGCCTGAAGTTTTAGAGTGTTAGAACATCCAGCAGTGCCCTAAACCCAGTATATATGCCTTAACTTGATCAGGAGAAATAAAAAAATGAATAAATCACAGGAACAGAAGTAGTTAACTGATTTGGTCCAGAGACATTGCCTCCTAGCATGTTGAAGACTGATCACACTGCTGCCTGCACTGCAAGAAATGGATATTCTACATTCCCATGAAGATTGATCAGGAAATGTTCAGACTTCTTTAATTCCCAAATTGACTCTTGATATTCCATGCTTCCCACAAGAGTCTTTGACCTTTCTGCATTCCCCAAAATAGCATAAGGCTTTCTGTCTCTAAAAACAGAAAATTTTGTACTCAAAATTCCGTTTCTCTGGATGCTTCATTCTCATTCTGTACAGAGGTTCTCCAATATTATTTTCTGACAAAGGGGCCTCAGACTTATTCCTTCAGGCCCAGGAGGACTCATCCTTTGCCCCAGTGACTGAAGTGGAGCTCAAATTATTTTCCAGGACTCACTGGGTGCTCAGGCACAACTCTTCTGAACCAGGATGCAGAATTCACTCCACCAATTCTCAAGAAGGCTATAGCCCCACCGCAACAGAACCAAAGCTCTTCAAAACAGATGTATGAATGAAAGGAGCTTCTGACCTCTCCTTCAGCACTGGGGGGTCTCAGATCTTTTCCAATGGCCAAAGTGGCCTCAGTCTTTTTGTCTATATTGAAAGTAACTCATAACTTTTATCAGTAAACTTATTACCTGTCAAAAGCAAAAGCTTCAGTCTGCTCCACTTCAGGGTTCAAGGGAAGATTGACACACCTTTCCTTTGAGAACCAGGAGACCTCAAACATTCTCTAATTGCCCAAATGGACCTCATATTTATAACTTCATAACAAGGGTTTTGTGCACATCCTCAATGCTGAAGGGAGCCTGAGATGTAATGTGAGAAGCAAAGATGTCTCAGACTTCCCCAATGCTCCAAGAAGACCAGAAATACAAACCCTTTAGAATTAATGAGCCATAGAATTTCTTCTAAATTACACTGGAGAGTAAGATTCATTCCCAAACCAGGACAGTTCAGACCTCCAGCTACCAACTCCATCATGTCTTAGATATACCCCTCAAAATTAAATTAATTCACTAATTGAGGAAGCTTACACCTTGATGCACTATCTTCTCAAGAGGGTTATAAATTTATTTCCTTCAACCACAGTAAACCCTGATTTTTCATACTTTGTCAAAGGAGGGTTTCTCTAACATGCTGTCTTTGAACAAGAAAACATAGCTTCCTTTGTCTCTACTGGAGGAGTCTGAGACAAACCCGTTTGATGAAGTAAGCTACAGAACCGGCCCTGTGACTGAAAAAGGTCTCAAAAATTCAGACTTGGTTGACAGGTACTTCAGATTGACTCCCTATTATCAGGAAAACATAGGAACTTCTCTTTGTGTTCATGGCCTACTCAGGTCTACCAAATAACTAATAGAGACTACAGCTTGTCATTCAGAACTGAATGGCCAGTAAATACACTTCTGACCACCAAAAGAACCTCATGGAACTCTACATTGAAGTTGCATGGCAGAAGAATAAAAAGTACCCTGGATCTAAGATCATCTGTTTTCATGCTGCACACAAGATATATGCCTGTCCTCCATGTCTACACCTGTGCAGCCTATCCACAGTTTAAGTAGGGAACAGACCTAGGGACTATAATTCAACTTGTAAGAAGAACCATCTGACTGTCATTATGCCTCAAAAGGAGTCCTCAGAGAAAAGAATTTTCTAGAGTTCACTGAAGAATTGGAGCAGGACTAGCAAGTTCCATGGATCTCCTCCTCTACAGCAGGTAAGCAGTGGCATTCCCATTTGTCCAACAAGGTTTGGGAACTCTCTCCTTTCCAAAACCTTAATATTTTCTTTCTGTGATAACTTACTCCGTAAAATACCCTTTTGGCCCAGATGGCCTTCATAAATTTCCCTCTGAAGAAGTAAGTGCATCATTGACAAATGAGCATTTTTCCCTGTGGTTAGTTCATAGAAGTCAAGATAAGTAGACAAATCCAGGAACTCATGACACTTCCTTAAGTAAAGTAGCCATGGTATAGATTTCTCAGTGACACCAAGTTCCGTTTGCCTGCACAGAATTCTTAGGAGTAAACCACACTGTGCCTCCTCCTGAGTATCTTAATGAATCCTGATATTGATGCTTGGTCTCTTGCAGATTCAGCTAAAGATATGGATATTCTAAACTATGAAGAAGAGTTATAAGGTTAAGCAATTCTAGGAGCTTATGAGGTATAGAAATCAATTGAATTTTTATCATGGTTCTATGGGATTTTCAAATCCTGATCATATCTCCCTTCCCTCATGGGTCTCAGAAACTCCTTTCTTCACAAGGGTACTTACTCCTCCCTTTGATCAAGGAGATATCTGATCTTCATCCTGGAAAACAGGAGTCCTACATCTTTCCACTTTTTTCAAAGGCTTAGATCTTCCTTTTGTGTGAGGGCCCCATATAATTTCTGATATTATGAAGTGGACCTCAGACATTATTCTTAATTAATGGGTCTCAGATTTGCACTTCAGTAAACTGTAGGCACAATATTGATCCAATGAGAGCCTCTGACAATAAATACCCTGTCAAGGACGATGGTTATATTCTACTTTCCTTGAAAGGGGGGACTTAAGACACACCATTTCCTTTCAAGGGTACTGATAGAAACTCACCTGATTAAGGGGATACAGACCAGGCCAGTGACATGAAGACTCACTCAAATGTTCATCTTTTAGTCATGTAAACTCCAAATAAGAACTCTCTGACATTGACTTTTCAGAAAAACCACTTTTATCTGCAGAAACCTCAGTTCTATTTCTCTAACTGTGAAGATGTTAATCTTTCCCCTCTGATCTGGGTGTCCAGGCATGCCCAAATGAACAAAGGGATGTCAGACCACTCTGAACTGATATCCTGGGACAAAACAGTAAAAATCTGATCCCTGATTAAACCCTTTTACTTTTAAGATTCTCACCAGAAATGGAGTGGTCCCACTTTGTCTCCTATGCCTGTGCTACTGATCAAAGGCATATGGAGGACACAGGGCTAGCAACTACCAACCAATCAGTATAGAAACACTCTGCTTCCCTTGCAGATCTCCTGAGGAAATTGGTAGCATGGGGAAATAGGGAGAGGATTGAAGGGGAAGGGAGATGCAGAGAGGGAAGCAGAGAAAAATGTAGAGCTCAATAAAAATCAATTATAAAAGGAAAAAAAGCACTCTGCTTGAAATCAATCTTCAGAGCCCCCAAGCACATGGGTATTCCATAGTGTGAGGACATTTGGACCTAATAAGATATTGGCTTATCCTTCTAGTTCCCAAAGTAACCTTGGAGCTTCATCTTCTGCTTGAGGGTTTCTGGACCTTTGGTCTCTTTCCTAACTTCCCAAAACATTCTCCCTTTCAAACATGGAGCCTGAAACCTTCCATGAATGGCCTAATAGGTCTTCCATCAAGCTGTTCAGGCATAGGTCCATGGGAGACTCTCTCTATAAACAAAGGACACTACTCCACTCTGGTTTGAGGTTCCATAGGCATGTTTGACCATCAGAGCATAGAACCCCATGACATCTGCCTTACGATCAGTCAATATAATTGGAAAGACTTCAACATTTCTGTCTAGAAAAGGACTGCTGAACACAAACTACAGGACATAAACTAGCCAGGAACAATCATCCAGGCCTTTGGAAGAAGACCTAGATAGTTGCTGCCTTGTCTCTCCTAGAAGGAACACAAACTATGAATAAGAGTTGGAAGGTTATGATCAGTACTGGGAACTTTCTCCACTGTATAAGTTGCCAAGGATATTCACCTTCAACAGAATTGTGTTTGACATTTTCACACTCTGCCCAAAGGTGATTCTGTCCCCATTTTTCAATAGTGTCTCAGAGGTTTTCTCTCTTACTTTGGGCTCAGAATTTTTACTATTCCTATTATTATTATTATTATTAATCAGTCACCTATTCCTTCTCAGTACATGGAACAAGATGTCATAATTCTTCTAAGACTTAGATTTCCCTAAACCCCATTTTCTAATGAGCCCTACCCTAAAATATTTGTTTGGTGTTCCGTGATCCTTATATATTCTTATTCCTCCCAAGTGACTCTGTCTTTTTTCTTCTCATTGCAGTGGTGTCAGACCAAGAGTGCATTATACTACCAAGTCAAGCAAGTACCAGACATTCATGGTCTTCCCTGAAGGTTTGTGAACCAATTATCTATTTTCTTCCAGGAAGAGGATTGCAGAAGTTCAGTTTGCACAAAAGGAAATCTGAAATATCAACCTCTATTGAAAGGTCACTCAAAACTGACCCCTGAATAGAAGGGATGTCTAAGACCTCCACCCTCTGACCTTCAGCTCTTTAGTCTACCCTAAGACTAAAGAACCATCAAGCTTCCCTTCTAAAGTTGGTGACCTCACACATTCCTCTACTAACTAGGATTGCTTTAGAGCTGGCTCCTCTGATCAAGGGTCATAAGCATATAAACACATATGTGATCAATGGGATCTCACAACTTTCTGCTTTAAGATCACAGGACAGAAGGTAGAAAGAGAAAATTGGCTATCAAGCCATGTGTTTCCAAGTTTGGTAATCAAAAATGCACTGTTTCTTTTATTCACAAATATGCACAGCTGAACACAACCTTGAGGAAACATCAATGCTTGCATAACCACTTAGCCTGTTGGAAGATTGTTATGAGATTTGCCTTAGACTCTCAAAGATTTCACACTGGGTATGTATGTTTGCTTTGGGGAAAATAGCTGGATGCTAGTTCAGTGCCAGAATCTTATTCCATTGCCCAAGATGCCATGGAACCCTCCCCTTCTGATCATGGGTGAACTGCATATTCTATCAAATATGACTGGAACCCTCCTCCCTGTGAATAAAGACATTCGGGATTTCTCATTTTCTCAAGGTAGTCTCATAACTTCCCATTCTGAGAAGAGGTTCTCCCCTGTTTTCAAGAGACCTCATATATACTTTTTTATTGAAGTTTTCATGAGAACTACCCTGAGTCAGACTGGGCCATCATCCTTCCCTTTATTAAAAATGTGTACTTACACCTTATCCACCTGTACAAGGGAGACTAGGAAGCATTGTCTTTGACCCTAGGAAACTCATGCATTCTTTTCTTCCACAAGGTTGTAACATGAGAGCCGACTATTGGAGTTTATGTCCCACCTGCTACCCCACAGCCAACAAGCCCCAAAGAATATCACACAGAGAACTCCATAAGATTATAAACTGATTGGTCCATTAGGTCAAGCTTCCTATTAGCTCTTGTAACTTATATTAACTCATTCTTCTTATCTATATTAGCCACATGGCTTAGTACCTTTCTCATCAGGGCAGGTCACATCTCACCTCTTTGGAGTCTGGGCAGGAGTGTGGGGGGAGCTTCCTGCTTCACAGAATACTCCTGTTCTCATTTCCAAGCCTCTACTTCCTGTCTGGTTGACCCACCTATACTTCATGCATGGCCAATCAGAGTTTATTTAAAACATGATTGACAGAATACAGACAATTCTTCCCCACCACAAGGTGACATTAGAGATATTATTTTGAATAATATTGCATCCTACCTTGTAGGATTCTATCAAAAATTCTCAAGCATTCCATTCTGTCTTTGACTTACCTTGAAAATATGCTATTCTAAATAAAAATGATTTAAACCATTTATATTTGGCACTGGTGGCTAGGGAAATGCATTGATCCACTCTAGGTTGTGATCCCCAGTCCTAAATGTAGAAAAGGAAACTGAATTCTAAGCTATGTTTTTTCAATCCAATGACTAGAAATCAACTGACCCCATCACTGCTGCCCATACACGGATTATGAAAACAACCTCAAAAAAGAGGAAACCTAGCTGTTGATAGCCATCCAGGCACACTGAAAAATGGTCTTGCTGCTGCCTGAACTCTCCAAGACTCAACACAAGATGAGCAAGCTCTAAAGAAGAGTTGGAAGCTGAAGTGCAGTAAAGGGACCTTCCTTCACTGAATAAGGTAGTAAGGACATTCACCTTCAACAGGATGGTGCATAACATTTCTCCCCTCTGTGCAAGCATTTTCCAACTCATACCCTTGCCCTAAACAGGTCACAAAATTTTCCCTTTCTCACTGCTTCCACTCTCAATGCTTCCACTCTCTTCAGACTAGCGTACTCCTTTTACTTCACTGATGAAAATGTCAGACCTCCCTCCTAGGACAAAGTCTACTGCAGATCTTCCCCATTTGCCTAAGGTGGTTTCAAGTAATCATTTTGTGGCAAAGACCCACATACTTTACCTTTGAATAAATAGGTCCCAGCTTAAATATTCCTACACCACTTACACTGTAAAAGTGAGAATCAGATTTGCTTTTACAGTGAAAGGGGGAGCTATGGTTACAAACTTCAACCACAAAAACTATAAAAATCCCATTTTAGCCAAAAGGTGCCTGGAATATTCCACAGTGATAAACAAGGTGTCAAAATTGGTTTCCATGACCAAAGGTGTTGCAAATCATTCACTCTGTATTTAATTGAGCTTCAGGTCTAGCCACTGACCCTGGGACGCCCTAGAGCATCCCCTTTCTTTCATGGACACATTTCACTTGACCCTTGGACTCATATTACCTTAGTGCCAATCCCAGGGGCTAAGATTGCTATGAAAACACTTTTATAACCATGGGATCTCATGAGATTCTAGGTAGAGGAAAAAAGATAAAAACTAAAACTAATAATCATGCCATCTGCCTAGAATGTAGCTGTCAAAAATGTAAAATGTTCCCATATTTCATGTAAATGAAGACTGTGCTTAAAATCCAACTGTTAAAACCCAAATAATTACACAGAAAATATATTAATTACAACACCGCTTGGCCTATTAGCCCAGGCTTCTTTTTAACTAACTCTTACATCTTAAATTAGCCAATTTCTATTCATCTATGTATCACTATACGGCTGTGGCCTACTGGAAAAACTCTGCTGTACTTCTCCTTCAGTAGCTACATGGCCTGTCCTGGACTCCACCTAATCTCTTTCTATATCTCTTTCAGCCTGGCTATATTCTGCCCTGCCATAGGTCAAAGCAGATTTATTTATTAACCAAAAAAACATATAGAGAAGGACATCCCACATCACTTACATTGATGATTAAGCACAGATCAATACAACCCTGAGGAAGCATTGAAGTTTGCACAACCACTTATCATGTTGAAAGAGTGTTGTAATTGCTTCTTGTACTCTTCCCAACAGTTGATGCAATACATGGATCATGGAAGTTGGAAACACAGTAGGAAGCAAATGATGCTGAACCATACCACTCAAGTTAAACTAGCATTTTCTCTTCTGCACAATGGGGTGAGTGGATCTCGCTATTTGGTCAAACATAGTCAGGCACTTTTTCTATAAGAAACACAGTTCAGATTTACCTCAGAAGTTTCCCATCTGAATATGGGTTTCCCAAACTGTTCCTATTTTCAAGGCATCTCACACTGTACCTTTTTGATGACTAATTATCAGAAGACCGCTTTGATTAAAGTAGCTGTCAGGCCCTTCCGCTATAACAAATAATACCCAAGGCAGTCCCTCTCAGTTTAAGGAAATTCATAAGAATACCTGGATTTTATAAAAGTCATCTCAGAATTTCCATTTTTCTCAAGGTGACCAGGATCAATGGATCCTCAGATCACCCCCTATATGCATGTGGGCTTCTGAATTATTCCCACAATGAAGATCTTTCCCCTCTAACTACATCCACTTCAAAAATACTTGTGTGACTGAAGGGACTTCATCTTGCTCTGCTTTGAGGTAACAGAGCCTGAGACTTAGGTCATCTTTGTATCATTAAAGTCACCAGAATGAGGAGGTCTCCTCCTTCATGCACACACCAATGTGGGTGATAAGAACTGGACCCTGTCAATCATGACTGATAAATGATGCTAAATTTGCTGCCAGGACTGCCACAGTGTTCCTGGATATGTGAATTTTCAAAACTCTGATGAAGTCCTTCCTCCACTGCACAAGGTAGACTACGATACTCCCTTTTGCCTAAGTGGTTTGTGACTTTGCTTCTCTCTTTAAGTCTGCCAAAGTCTTCCATTCCTAACCACCATCTATTTCTGTCAATTAGACCTCAAATGCACACTCTGTAATCAAGAGGGCCTGATATCTATCCTGCATGACTGACGGGGCCAGGGAAGATGTATACCTGTCCAAGGCCCCAAAACTTTCAAATTCCAATCAAAATGGCCTTCAAAACTTACCCTCACTTAGCAAGGATCCAATCATTCCCTTTTGATGAAGGAAGGCTCAGATCTTCTGCTCTTCTACTTACATATGTTTCACCTCCAATACATCATCTGAAAGGGTCATCATTATCCTCTTTTTTTCCAGGACCCTCAAATTCCTGCCATCTAATCAAGAGGTCCGAAAATATCTTTCTTTCATAGAGGAGATTCAGAGTATCTAACTCCGCATATTATAGCATCAGACACTATTTGGAAATACTTGGTTTTCCCCCTCAATCTACGGGGAAATAAAACTTTCTCCCAAAGCCAAAGATGGCTTGAAATATATCCTCTTTTGCCCAAGGATGGTGCAGGCCTACCATCTCTAATATGGGGCCTATAGATCTTGTTCTCTTGACTATGTATGTCTGTTATATTCCCAACTGTCTAGGATTGCTTCAAACTTTCTTCGTGCTACATATATGGGATTATCTTATCTGACCAGTGGCTTCTTAGACTGAAAATAACCATCCAACCACTTTGAAAACATGCAATGATTACTTCTCAGCATTTCACAAGCCCACAAAGGTATGGATATTCTCAATACTGAAAAAGATTTGGAAGCTGATTAGGCCAGATGGGACTTTCTATTGCTCCAGAATGCTTATGCTTAATGGAAAATTGTCTTTCCTATTTCATTAAATATTGCCATAGATTACACCTCTGACAAATAGGTGTAGACTATCACCTGTGCACAAAATGTCTCAGAAACTCCAGTTATGACCAGAGTGCATTAATATTTCTCATCATTCCCATGAATTCTGCCACATTATGTTTTTGATAAAGGGTGTAATAGCCCTTTTTATTTCTGTCCAAAATACCAAGGCCCTACCCCATCTTATATAGTGAGATTTAGACCTTCACATCAATGAAGAGTGTCTCAGGCCTGCCTTGTGTGATCAAGGACATTTCACCATTGATTCACTTATAACTTCTAATTTGCATGGCTTGGAAAGTACTGTTCTGACTAAAGAGATCTCAGAGCTCTCTGGACCAAGGTCCTTGAACACAACAGCAAGATGAGGGTAACACAGACTAATGTCTTCACTCTAGTCCCTTAGACAGAAAATTCCTGTCCCACATGAAGAGGAATTTGTGGATTGACCTATACCAGACGAAGAAACTGAGTCACAGACTTCTGTCGTGCAGCCTCTTAGAAGACTTCTAAGACTGCTGACATGCCTGACATGGACATTCATAAAATGTGTATTCTAGATTGTGATTTCAAGTTTGGTGCCGAGGAAGAAGTGAGTGCCTGGGTTTTCTCTATTTCTCAGGGTATCATTCATGTTTAAGCTTCTCCCCAATAGGGTCACAGACATATGACCAAGGGAGGCTGAGATTATTCCACCCTGTCCTAGGGAGCTTCTGACTCCTCCTTCTAAGTAAGAGGGTCTTAGATCTTTCACTTGCTCCCAAATTGATAGCAGGAATTCTTCTTCTGCACACTTAGGCTTTTTCTGCCTACTTAAGTTCTGCCTTGCTGTAGGTCCAAAACAGTTTATTTATTAATGGTAATCACAGCACACAGAGGGGACTCCCACATTATGGATATGCTCCACCTATGCAGAGTAGCCTGAGAGTATCCTTTTTTACTGTTGTGGCTTTTAGACTATCCCCTCTCCCAAGTATACCTCCAAGTTTTGTCTTCTGACCAAAGGGTTTCAGACCTGCCTGCTCTAATAGAGAGGTACAGTCTACCAACCTGCATAGGGTCTTAGAGCTTCTGAATATGCCCTTGTGGGATTAAACTTACTAGGTCCATATTATTGGGCCACCTACCATTCTGATGTGACCAAAGGAGTTTAAGTCTACTGCCTATGATTTGCCAGACAGCCTCAAATCTTCTCATTATGCAAGTTGTCTTCAAATAGGCCCCTCTATTCAAGGAGAGCTCACAGTCTTCTCCTCTGATTCAGTGGCCTCAGGCATTCCCCCACCCAAACATGAGACCATAGACTATTTTTCTTCACACAATGACTTCTCCAGACATCCCAGGCTTAAAGTCTCCAAGTCTATCTGTTGCAAGTAGAGTCAAGAACTGCCTCAAAGTCAAAATTAATAGAATGTGGTCCCCATCATTCAAACCTAGATCTGAGCAGCTGAACATATGCTTGAGAAGGAGAGCCAGCTTGGGACTCTCATGCAGACTTTTGGAAAATACTCAGATTGCTGCCTCACCTACCACACATTCACTACAGTGGACAGATGTTCGAGTCTCCGATGAAGAGCTGGACGATGATAAGGAAGTTCCTGGAATGTATTCCACTGTATGAGGTGGGCCAAGACCTTGATCTCATGTCAAGCAGTGCGTATGCTGATTTCCAGCTTTACCCAATTCAACATGTTAGTCTATATCTACAATAGCCCCAGATTTCCACACACCTCACAAGACGCCCTCAAACATTTCCCAACTGACCCTGGGGTCCTTGTATTTTCTCCATGGCACTTGTTTCCCCCCTTCTTCACCATGCACCTTGGCAAGCCTCCGACCTCTCACCTCTGATCCTTTGATCCCTATTTGTACATTTCTGACTTATGTGGGAGACATTTAATGTCTGAATATGAGGCCTTCAATAGTGTTCCCATTGACTAAGGGTGTCTCATACATACTCTTTTCCTTTAATGAAGTATTCAAACTCCACATCTAGCCAAGAGAAATTCAGATCTTCCTTTTCTGTTATGTATGGTGTCTATACTAACATCCTTATCCAAAGGGCCTCTGGTTTTATCTTCTGACCAAGCAACTGTCTGATATTCCCTCTCTGCTTGAAGACACAGGCACATGAGGTGGACAGAAGTCTTGGGCACACTTCTAATCAATATAACATTCTTCCCTTCAAGTTTGAGGCCTCAGAGTTAAGGAATAGCAAAGAGAGTCTGGAAAACAGCCATCAGTCTTGAGGGCATTCATCAGAACATCAGAAGTGGACTGCTCCTAACCTTAATGCCCTGAACAGGATGACTGAACACCAAACTGTGAGGTGGAAAAAGTGACAGACACCAGCCTCGCTCTTGCGAGTTCAGATTACTGCATATCCTTCTTTCTGAAGATGCCCTAGATGATATTGTTACTTTGTTGTTGTTTTGATTGTTGTTCTCTTTTTGGTATTATTGTTTGCTTTTAAGTTTAGAAGAGGACACCTTGATTTTTTTGGTATGTTAATTATCTACTGGCATTAAACTCTGGCAACCAAATGAATAAATGTTTCACATGTTCTACTCTATTTGGAAATCACAACATATGCATATCTTCCACCTTCTTGTATCAAAGACATACCGTAATTCTATTTTACAAATGTAGTCATTTTACCAACATATGTTGTGTGTGTATATGTGTGTGTGTTCAAAACTGTTTCCTGTGATATGTTAAATTTTTACACCTAATGATTTATTTTCATAAAAATTCAATTCATTTATGTATTTACTTTACATCCCAGACACAACCTCCACCCTCCCCATCCCCCTCTGATCCCACCCCCAATCCACTCCCCTTCTATTTCTGCTCAGGAAAGATTGGGTCTCCTATGGAAATCAACAAAACATAGCAAGCAAAGTTGCAGTAAGATTAAGCACCTCTCATGCACCAAGGCATGGCAAGGTGACCCAGAATGAGGAGTAGGTTTCCAAAAGTCTGTAAAAATGTTGGAGACAGTACCTGCTCCCATAGACAGCAGTCCCACAGTAGGATCAAACCACACAACCATAACACATATGCAGAGAAAATGTCATTTGGAAGATCCTTTCTTACTGATGTGTCTTAAAATAATAGATCTTAGAGCTTGGGGTGTATGACTTAATTTCTTCAGCAACATAAATACATTCAGTGTCATTGCTATTAGTTGATAATAAATATCAATTAAAAATACACACTAATAATTGAAACAATAATAAAATGTAAGGAAGAATTTCAGGATAAAAATACCGCAAAATAGCCAGAAACAAAGCAAATTCCAGTTTCTAATAAAATCTATGTATATCAAATAGACATTGAACAAGAAATTTTGTGATTTGTATGTGTATTTTGAATTGTAGTTTGAATGTCCAATCTTTAATAAATCTTTTTTTGTTGAACAGTTTCCTTTAATTTTTATTAATTAGTTTTTTCATCCTGATCACAGTTTCCCCTCCCTCCTGCCTCTCCTTGTAGTCCCTCACCCCAATCCCTCCAGAATTGGAGGTGGTAAACTGAGCACAGTTTGGGCATGTGAAGGACAGCAAGATTTGGTGTTGATCATTACAACTGTCTCTGTGTTTATCATGAATGTATGTATGTATGTCTTTATGTATGTCTGTATGCTTCTATCTGTCTATCTATCATCTATCTATCTATCTATCATCTATCTACCCATCTATCTATATGTCTAGTGTGTTGGCAAAGTGTGCATGTGCTATGAAATAAATTTGAAATGATAAGTACAAACTGTGATTTTTTTTTTCATTCTACCATGTGAATCTTGGGGGCCTAACACAATTTATCTGGAGTAGCTGCAATTGCCTCTAAGCCAAATCAACAATACTAAGTGTGTGTTTAAAATTTAAAGGATTATTTAAGCCATTATTGTCAAATGTACTTGATACCAAAAGTATTGACCCTGTTATTAGTTGCACATAATGCTTAAATTCTTATGTAAGTATTTTGATCCAAAATGCTGTAGAATGCGAATTAGGGCCTAATTGGAGGAGTGAATATTTTGAAGACTCATTCTCTGGAGTGAATTATTACTGTCATCAATGGAATAAGTTCTGTTGCAATGCAGGTCCCTCTGGATTTCACCTTCACTCTTTTGTCTTTCTGGTTTCTACAAAAGTTTTTGACAGGATGCTGGATTCTAGTTCTGGTTTTGAATATTTTTATTAAGTTTGTTTCCAGACAGTTTTTCATCTGTAAACAATCCATACTGGCCACTCCCACCCTCCAGCTCCCTTTGATACCTGGTGCATCAAGCCTTCAGATAATATTATAACACATTTATGATTACCATTGTTCTGTGACTCACTCTAATTAACCAGGGTTTTCTGTGTGACCATCTGTCAGAGCCTGGTTGACTCAGCAGTGGGTACACAACTGAAGAAAGAGAATGTAATGAAGCCAGAGAATGCTTTACTTTTCAGAACATTTTACCTTATCTTCTAGATTTTACATGTGTTGGACCCTCCTCCTGCAATTTCTCAGAGATTAGAAGAATGTTATAAGGGCTGTTTTCAGAAATAAGCCCAATACAACCCAGACAGAATTATCTGACTAAGAAAATCTTTCTGATAAATGTCAGTCCTTTCTTATGAAAGGTGAGAGCAGCTTTCCTCTCTGGATTCAAGCATGGCTTTGTGCAAGGAAATTTGCTTTATGGTGAAACTTCTTTAAGCCTTCATGGAGGGGGGGGCAAAATGATCATGTCAGCTCTAAGATCAAGTGGAACAATAGTGACATAGAAACAATGAGAAGAACCAAAAGAGAGAGAGGGTGAGCAGGAGGAGCATTGCATGGAGTAGAAAACGCTCAGATGACAGAAAGCAGGTTTGACCAGGGTCTCAGAATGGATAAACAGAACTTGCTGGGGCAAAGATACTGTGTGTATCTATCATGAGGAGGAACCAAAGTATGATTTGATAATGAAGGTCATGGGAGGAGAGGGGTGAAGTAGTTCTCCATGGCTGAGGGACTACTGCATGCTGTCCAGAAGAAAGGCTAGGAAGACATTATACCTATGGTGCCTCATTTGCATCCTGTCCTACAAAGTGGTCTATTGAAGTAGCCCTTTTTAAGAAGTAACCCTAAGAACTTGAATTCCTGATAAAGGTGGGCTTAGAACCAATGGAATCTCAAACTTTCCCATGTTAATAAAGGGTGATACAGAAATTCCACCTCTGTGCTATATGGTCCCTTCTGTTATCTCTGTGGCCATAAGAGCTCCATATATCCTCCTAGGAGGTGATGATCCCCAGGCATCCCATTCTGCCTTAGGAAGCTTATTTTTTTGCCAAGAGAATTTCAAACATGACCCTGATAGCCTAGGTTCCACAGATATTTTCCAGCTTTGCCTGAAGTTTTGTATATAATCCCTATGGCCAAGGAGGTCTATGATTTCCTCCCTGTAACCATCGATTTGGAATATTCTCATTGGACAAACAAATATTGGACCACACTGGTTAGAGGTCTTGGGTGTCAAGCTTACTTTCTGTGAATAATGAGAAATATAATCACATAATGAATTTTTCAAGCGAGTTCTAATTTCTGATTAGTCCATTCTATGACCCCAGAAGGCAATTGACAGCACAGGTTTGAACCCTATTAGACACAATCCTCCAATACTTACATCCTGATGATAAACTTTAACTAATCATGTTGGTGCAATAGATGATTAGCAGACACTAACAATCCATAGAAGAATTATATTGTAAAAACATAAAATAAACCAGTTCTATATCACCTACCAAGTATTCATTTTAATACAGTTAATATTATCTTTTTTGCTTCAAATAAACTGAAGCATGAAATGCTTTTTCCAGAATAATGGAGAAGGAAGAAACCTTATTATGGATCCTTGTATATTTTCTGTATGCTGCTTTTCCCCATAAAATATCTCTAAATATGGCTTAATAAAGAGAAGTGGCCTTCCAGATGCAGGATGACATTAAAAGGAGATCCTGGAGTGACACTCTAAACGTGTAGGTTTATCTTAAAAAAATCCATGCACCCTGGTAACCACCTTTGACTTGTTTCTCCATTCCTTTTGATTGATATTCAATAAGTTTTTTAAGGTAGTTAAGTGGAATTCTTTCCATGATAAAACAGAAAACTGTCTCTGCTCAAGTGAGATGCATTTAGACGGGTGAGAGCAGCAGAGGAACATGAATGTGTCCTCCTCGGCAGCACACTAATAATGCTGCTGCCACAGACAGGAGCTTTCTGATTTGTTGAGCATATTTCTCAAGGAGGCAATGGCAAAGTAAGGAACTATAGATATTGGGGAATTGGAAGGAAGTCAAAATGGATAAGGAACTGTTGATTTTTGATCTGCTTGGCTCCCATTTCCAGTCCCCATATCCATCATCACTACTTTCTGGAGAGCTCCCATCAGCATTTTGATACTTTAAATTTGCACATTTCCCAATGCCTCCACTATTAGTACAGTCCAAAGGCTATGGAAAGTGGATCTCAGTACACATGAATTAACCCTTGTCCCTAGACCAGCACATCAAGCACAAAGACCAGTGTTTTGGTCAGTGTTTCACTGCTGTGAAGAGACACCATGACCATAGCAGCTCTTAGAAAGCATATAATTGTGGGTTGACTATAGCTTCAGAGATTTAGTCCATTGTCATCATGGCAAAGAAGTAGTATGTGATACATAGGCAGACATGATAGCTGAGAGTTCTACATCCAGATCCAAAGGCAGTACGAAGATAGAAACTCCGGGCTTGGAATGGTATCGAAAGTCAGCAGAGTTCAGGTCTGCTGACTTCCTCCCAGGGTTCTGTCAGGTTGCCTCAGCATAGCGAAAAGTATCCTAGAATAGCTCTAGTCTGAGGGAAAAGACTCATATGCTTTCAGCTCCAGTCATGTCTCTTTATTGTTCAGTATTAATTCTAATATTCTTGTTCTAATTGTCAATAATTTCTTAGCTCCAATTCTCTCTCAATACTAATTCCAATTCTCTATTACAAATTTCTGTTCTAATTCATTATTGTTCTAATTACTCGACATTTTTTATTCTTCTTTTTTCTTCATTTTCCTACATTCTTTACTCTCTTAATCTTATTTCTTCTGTTGCTGCAAATCCCCAAATATGTGTGTGTGTCCACTCATTAGCAACTTGTTAGTAATAAAAAAATCTACAAGGAAAATTCTCAGGGACACAGGCATTCTTTGAAGATATGTAACAAAACTTATCAGCTAGTTTGCAGCTAACTGCTGCTGCAGCAGTGTGGAGATCTCTGTCCTCTCTTAAAAGGAGCCTCTACAGGTTACAAAGAAAGAAAACTAAACCACTGAGAGATCTAAGAAAGAGTTAGAGTACGTGTACTATTTTACATTTCTTTTTTTTATTGAGCTGCACATTTTTCTGTTTCCCTTTATTCACCCTTTTCTTCTACCCTCTCCCATTATCCCCATGATCCCAATTTACTCAGATGATCTTGTATTTTCCTACTTTCCATGTAGATTAGTTCTACATATATCTCTCTTAGGGTCCTCTTTGTTGTCTATGTTCTCTGGGACTGTGAATTGTAGGCTGTATT